TAAAGATGCAAAATTATGGTCTAATAATGCCAATAAAGTTAATTACTACTTTATGCAATACCAAGAAGAGAAAAAGTGAATATTATATTGCATTTACATGAAATACAAAGTGACAGATTATCTGTATAGATGTCTTCTCTTGTCATTTAACAGTAGACTTGACCATAAGAAGGTAAAAGTTTTTAGGATCCTCTTATTCCACCTTAACCTGTTATCCATGCCTGTGTGCAACCCTTATTCCTTATCCTATATCCCCATGTATCTCACACTCTTCAGGCATGAACAAAAAAAGAAGAGAAAAAAAAGAAAAAAAAGAAACAAAAAGAATAAGAATAGTAAGAACAGTGTGCCAACACCACAAAAGAAATCCCCGTCAGACCACACTCTTCTCATGTAAACGCTCCTTCCGGTGAGTGATAGGTTGAGGCCCTTTGCCACTCCTCAAGCCACCACCACTGGCACGTGCTCCGGGTACTTTTGATTTCTTTTGTGCGTGAGCGGGTCCCAGTTCCCCTTGCGTCGCCGTCCCCCCCGACTCGATGGACAGAGGCACGGGTGGCCCTCACCCTGCGGCGGCGCTTGTTGTGATGGTGATGATTGGTTGTGATGATTATGGAGGGTGGGTCAACACCTATGAGACCGGGTCACTCACCTTCCCCCACATATTACTGAGGCCAGCGTACATGGGGAGGGATGACCTCATGGCAGGCTCCATGCCCAAGCAAAAGCCGGAACACAGAGGTGGAAATATGTTAATTTTGGGAAAAAGAAGTGATGGTCGATGATACTGACTGTAAGTTTGATAGTAATGCTTACAAAGGGAAAGGAAAAGCTTTGTGATTATTGAGAATGTTTGATGATCTTTCCTTTTTTCAATCACTAAAATAAATATATTTGCAGGAATAGTACTGTTAGTTTCAGTTTCATACTGAATATTAATTTCTAAAATTCCATCCCTGTGTTCAGGTTCTGTGGCTCTCCTCTTGTAATGGTTTCATCTTTATTAATTTTTTGGATGCATTAGAAACTTGTCAATATCCAGAATGAAGCTTTGCAAGAGTCATTATTACTGCATGGCAGGAATTTGCACAGAGTGAATCAGATATGTTCACATGGTTTTATATATATTGATTTTTTTTGCTTGGTGCATCTGTCTTTGTAACCAGTATTTGTAATCATGACATTTAGACTAAGTTGCTGAAATACTGAACAAATTCCACATCGCAGCACAGTAAGCTAGCTGCACTGTAGGAAATTGTTATAGAAATTACAGTAATCTTTTGTGAACAAATATTGTAGTACAGTACATCCTCCTTTGAAATTAATATATGAGTAAAAAAATCTCATAAATAGATTAGATGTATTTACATGACAAACCATTATGTTTGCCATACAATACTGTGATCCCTCTCTGACTGTATTATTCATTTTTATACTTTATACACAGGCTGATATCTAAGTGACCAATAATAGATAGTAGCTGATGTGAGACATATGACAAAAGTGTAGAATGGGATATTTTTGTCTTCATGTCTCTTTATACGATTTCCTATTATAACATTCTAGTATCACAAATTGATTGTTCTATAAATCAACATGCACATGAATTATTACCTTTTGTGTGAAAAAATTGCCTTTTTTGCTTACTTAAAGACTGTTATAATATCCCCCTTCTTTCCTCTCTCATTCTCAAACTCAATCTCTCTCTCTCTCTCTCTCTCTCTTTCTCTCTCTCTCTCTCTCTCTCTCTCTCTCTCTCTTTTCTCTCTCTCTCTCTCTCTCTCTCTTCTCTCTCTCTCTCTCTCTCTCTCTCTCTCTCTCTCTCTCTCTCTCTCTCCTCTCTCTCTCTCTCTCTCTCTCTCTCTCGCTCTCTCGCTCTTCTCGCTCTCTCTCTCTCTCTCTCTCTCTCTCTCTCTCTCTCTCTCTCTCTCTCTCTCTTCTCCTCTCCTCTCCTTCTCTCTCTCTCTCTCTCTCTCTCTCTCGCTCTCTCGCTCTCCCTCTCGCTCTCTCTCTCTCTCTCCTCTCTCTCTCTCCCTCTCTCTCTCCTCTCTCTCTCTCTCTCTTTCTCTCTCTCTCTCTCTCTCTCGTCTCTCTCTCTTCTTCTCTCTCTCTTCTTCTCTCTCTCTTCTCTCTCTCTCTCCTCCCTCCCCTCTCCCCCTCCCTCCTTTTTCTTCTATTCACTTTCTTTTCAAAAGTTTGAAACCAGAGAAGGTCACTTAGATGGAAGCCCATAATCCGAGTTCCTATATAATTTGACCCTTTGACACAGACCGGATGGAGTGGGAACCGTCCTGGCTGAAGAGAAGGAGCGCTTCCAAGCCATCAAGGAAAGGTTAAGAGTCTTACTTGAACACCAGATTACCAACTTCATGTAAGTGTGTCCTACCTCCCTCTTTTTTTTTTTTCCACAGGCGTATTGTCCGATGAAAGTAATGCTGTTCAGCTTGTTCTAGTTTACTATTGTTAGAGATGTATTTTTGTTAAATGGAACATAATACAAAGAAGCTGTTAATGTTAATGCTATACATAAATGAGTGTAAACAGAGGAGCGCAGAAAATGTGCATCATAGTAACAAAATTGGCTATCTTGATCAGAAAATATGCTTAAGTATACTACTGGAATTTTTTATTTACCTGATTTTATTATTGCTATTTGCTATCTATTTATTTACCTATTTACTTCCAAGTTTTACTACTCTATATCACCCAAAATATATAAAAAGATAATGGATGATGTGGGGAAGAATCTAAACTGTTATGCTGCATTAGTTCTAATAACATTGTGAGATTTGTTCACTGACAGGTATTGCTTCCCATTTGGTCGACCTGAAGGTGCCCTCAAAGCCACATTGTCTTTACTTGAACGGGTAAGTGAATTAAAGATTATTATCATTTATTATTTATGTATTTCTCTCTTCTTCTGTCTCTCTCTTTCTGTCTCTCTCTCTCTGTCTCTGTCTCTCTGTCTCTGTCTCTCTGTCTCTGTCTGTCTCTTGTCTCTCTCTGTCTCTGTCTCTGTATCTCTCTGTCTCTCTCTGTCTCTCTCTTTCTCTCTCTCTTTCTCTCTCTCCTCCCTCTCTTTCTCTTCTCTCTTTCTCTCTCTCTTCTTTCTCTCTTCTCTTCTCTCTTTCTCTCTTCTCTCTCTCTCTCTCTCTTCTCTCTTCTCTCCTCTCTCTCTCTCTCTCTCTCTCTCTCTCTCTCTCTCTCTCTCTCTCTCTCTCTCTCTCTCTCTCTCTCTCTCTCTTGTAACCTGATGAGGATATGTCTACATGCTGCTCCAACTGCACTCGGGTGCAAAACACTTCCTTTTAGTAGTCAAGACATACACATGACATGAGCGGCATCTCCCAGTAACATGATAGCATGTCACCCATTGCCTTCAAATTAAAAGCCTTTTGTGTCTGTTGTATATTTTTTATTATGCAATTTTATTTAAACTGTGCTCAACATTTACTGTATTCATTTCATGCAGGTAATGATGAAAGATATAGCAACTCCAGTGCCCCCTGATGAGGTGAGAGGCATGATTAAAAAGTGCCTAGAGAATGCTGCTCTCTTAAACTATACCCGTCTGTCAGCTGAAACAAAGATTGAAGGTGAGATATTGATAACATTTTAGATTTTAAGACAATGATGATTGTTTTGCTTTCATGGGTATTGGTGTTAATGTCTCAGTCATCATCATGTTTTTTTTTTATGTGTAAGGATGTTAAAATTGTATTTGTTATCTTTAATGATAATGATGTAGCTGTTATTATCATTTTACTGAAAGTCTGTCTCTATCAGTACTGTGTGTTTTTATTTACTGATTCACACATGATTAAAACTTCCGCCCATTTAAACAATGAAAGAGAAATCTTCTTGTCTTTATGAATAAGAATACTTCATAACATTGCTTAGGGCCTTTAGTTTTGCTCATTCCAATAGTAGGTTGGCTATTTGATAAATAAACTACAATCAATAACAAAGGAAATAGAAGTTTAGATATATGAAATTATTCATATTGATAAACGTTATTGCTGATTTGGCATTCAGCAATGTAATTTGGTTTTGTCTGTGTTCCATAGGTGGAGACACCACTCTGCAAGGTATTTATTAACTGCATCAGATTTATCAATTACTTAGGCATGATGAACATTGAGGTAGATGTTAATCACTGTATGTTAATGTATGTTGTTCTTGTAGGTTGTAGGTTTGGTGTTTTCCTTGTACCATTGTGTTTAGTCTTTTAATTTTGTGGTAACTAATTAGATTATGACTTTTGTTGTTTTATTGTAGTTTCAATTTTGTTTGTACTTTATATGAACACATCAGTATTTGCATTATTTACCCATATATTAATATTCTTTGGAGTAAAGCTTTTCCTATGAGCTACCTTCAGGGAAATAAAGATGAATATGTTATTTATTTCTCTGTAAGCATGCACTCATCATAAACCTATTTCCAGAATCTTAAACTTAAAGTTATATATGAATGTCACATTTCAAATGTGAATAACTGATTGCTTGTAGATAGCAGATGAAAAAGCAACTCCTTATGTGATTTCTTTTTTCATGCTTAAAGAAATTTGTCTGCAGGAAGTAGTATTTGTTAAGATTAATTAGTCAAGATGTCTTTACTTTTTTATCCTTCATGTATCATTTCTACTTTTTTTCTGTTTTTCTCTTCATTGTATATCATGCTCATCCATTCTTTTTTATTTTTATTTTTTCTTCCATTCTTTCTCCATACACCTCTTCATGATTACATTTCTCTCTCCTTTTATACTCTTACCCATTTTCATTGTTTCTTCTTGATTCCTTCCTTCTTCTCCCTTTCCCTTTCATAGTGTTTCCTTTTAATCACCCTTCCTGTCTTTCCACCCTTTCGTATACCCTCTTTCTTCCTCCATTCTTTCCATGTCTCCTCTTTCTCACTCACTCCTTCCCTTCTCTCCCTTTCTCCATCTTTCCCTCTTTCCCTCTCCACCTCTTTCCTTCTCTCCCTCTTTCTCTCTTTCC